CGTTTGACCCGGACTAACTGTACCCAGTCAGATTTGTCACTCCAGCCGACCAACCGCCATAGGTCTACTCCCGATATGGTGAAGAGGACCATCCGATCCTTTTCACGCTCAGCTACGCTTAGCAAGACTGACCCTTCGCCGATTACGTCTGGTTCAACGGCCATGAAACGAAAACGGTCCAACACATCAAGCGAGAAAACCTCTCTGGTATCTGTTTCAGACGCTAGTGGATCAGTCACAGGACATGCTAGCAGTCAAAACACACCTACCCGCAGACCAAAACGACAAAGAAATACCGCTCGGCAGCACCTTGATGATGAGATTCGACGGCTAAGGGGTTCGGTGCCAACGATCGAGGAACTGATCGCAGAAGCAGAACGAGAACACGCCGCTATCAGAGAAAAGAGGGAGAGGGAGATGGAATCGATTTGGAGAAGGAGGAATGACTTGGTTGGGTTAAAGGAGTATCTGCAAACTTGGGGCGCTCAGGATAAAGAATGGACCACTTCACAATAGAGTTTGTGAGATACAAATATGAAATCGAATGCGTATCTCATTCGTAATTCGAGGGAGTCAAGGACTGAAAGATATTAACCGAGCTTTACGAGATTTAAAAAGCAAAATATTTGCAAGTAAGGATTCAACGCTTCTGACATGTTGATTATTCTCACTTCTCTTTGCTTCGCCTATCCCTAATCGCCAATCTCAAGCCGAGACCTATAGCTGCCACCGACGTCTCTGTAAACTATTCCGTATGTAAAAAGATCCAAGCTTTACTAGTCGAGGTTCTGATCACATTCATCGGCTTCGTCTTCGTCTTTCTCCACCACCACGCCCGTGAGTTCTACTAATGAGCTTAGAAGAGACTTTGCGTCGACTATCCACTTCGCTAATAATTCTAACATATCGAACAAATTAAAGGCTACTTGTCTTATAAACATAAAAGCAAGTTCGATATCGTTGCCCACGATCAAAAATAATAATAAAAATTTCGCTGACATAGCTTCCTCGACGGTCGTGCCTTAATTGCGAATTTTCATACCCGACGATAAGTCGGATGTCGTACATGGATATAAATAATATCATCGAGTAGAAAGGGATCTTAACTACTAAGAAAAGAATAAAATACGTCGTGACTTGGTGGATAGAACTAAAAGACAAACTTGGAAGATTCGCCATTGTTGAGTTGAAGACGTCGAATTGGAGTGAGGTTTGGAGTGAGGTGGAGTTGAAGTGGAGAGATTGAGTTAGAGATGTAGCTGGAGAAATTTTGACCTGCAGAGATGTTGCCCGAGAGTGAGGTGAGGGTGTTGATTTGGAGTAAGGTTTAGAGTGAGGTGGAGATGTCGAAAGAGATAGAAATGTCGATGAAAAGTGGGAAGAAGGAGGTATTTATAACATTCATCACCCAAGCCAAAAGTCACACTATTCTCCTTCAAGAAGGAGCTGTGGAAACTCAGCCGATAATGCTATGCTAAGTGACTTGCTCTTTTAATAGTTATGAGCACATGTCCATCATGGGAAGGAGAAGTGGCCCAGAGGCTGAGTACTGCACCCAGCACAACTTGCATACTGCGCCTATGTCACCTATAAAACACGAGGAGAAAGAAGATCAGCCTTGCTAGTGGTACGGTACAGGGCCTTTGGCTCTCCCACGAACACATGTAATTCCATTTATAGGGATTGACAGCTATAGTGTGGCTTGAACTTCACAAGCATATTCGGATCACTTTGAGCGTGATATTTCAGAGCCTAGCTTGTTATGGGGCTCACAAATGACAAGTGATGCATTATTGGTCATGTGATATGAAGGGGCTCGCTTAGGCTCACAGATGCTTCGATTCGAGAATCCCAGAAGCCTAGTCGTGAGCTATTCCAGCCATAAGTCGCCGCACTTGCATGAGCGACAAGTGACAAGAGGTGAATTTGTTATGCATCCGCAAAGAGGATGCAAAGGGGGTGTGGCATAGATTATGCTAGGAAGGTGGCAAGAGTCCGAGGGGCAGCAGAGCTGACGAATTGCACACGGCGTTTCCCTCCCAGTTTCCGAGCCTGCTGACCCAAGCAATGAATTCAAGCCTGCTGAGCTTCAAGGCTTTTTCCTACGCAGAAAAGACAATGCTGTAGGTGGAAGAGGTACTAGATTAGGGACAACTAGTAAAAGCAGGAGAAGACGAGGAATAATATAGGAAAATGAAGCAAAAAATTGAGAGCAAAGAGAAGAAGAGAAGAGAGTTGGAAGAAGAAATGGAGAAATTGCATAAGCCAGATTTGATACACAGGCAAGAACACGCAAGAATGTACCTGGCTGGATGATGGGGGAGGGGCGAAAAGAAATCGCTCGCTCGAACTTAGCCATGCATTGGATGCTAAGCTGGTTCAGACCTTTGAGGATTGCTGTACGTTCCTTGATCTGATGTCATGGAACTTGAAGCTGGCTGTACACAGGGGGTCCGGAACAGCTCACGTCCGCTGCTGACGCGTTTCTTGAATCAGTGGAGGGCGTGGAGACTACTTCTACTCAGGCTACGGTCATCAAAGCTGAAGATGATCAATCAGAGCGCCGCGGACGACCAGTGGTTCCAGAACGTGTGCCTGATGTCCCAGCTTCTGGTATCGCCAATGAACTCCATCTCGAACATCAATCAAGAGCAGAGAGAGCATGCCGTTCATCGCCCCTCAATTTCCTCTGACTTTGGAGTCATTCATCCTTCGAGACGGGAGCAACTTGTTGATACTGGAGACATCCCAGCAAGCCCACCTCGATCAACTCAGACTTCTCATCAAGTTCTCGAGGACCTCGAGCATTCGACGAGGCTATTGCCTACGGTCCCATCCGATTCAAATCAAGCAACGCATTCGCTGCGCTTTGCGGCCCACGAGGCGATCATGCCAAAGACATAGTCCGAGCATTCCCTTCACTGAGGATAAGATACGATCGAATATCAGGTGTTTCTCGCCGTGGAAACCTTGAAGTCATTGTTGACGCCTACATCGAAGTCAATGATCTTCGGAACCATGACCAAGGCCAGTCCAAATCAATCGAATCACAAATTCGGGCAGTCGAGTGAGGTCTACGCGAGTTCCAAAATTTGGACAAACCTGGCTACGAGATAGAGATACCCTTGGGCATTTTCTACAATCTGTACCCTGAGCTTTTTCAACCTGGCGCCCTTGCAGACGCTCAATCAACTATCGAACGTGTGGAAGTGAATCCCAATGTCCAGCCACTCGGAGGCGATCGAGGACGACGACAGACATTCGAGCAGCGACGAACTTTCGGATAACGCAGAAGCAGGAGCCCCGGTCGTCACCATCGTCATGTAGCGCGTGTAAGTTTTGCTCGTTATCCCCAAAAGTGCGATTAATTACTAACTAGCCCAGGTCTCAAGACGTAGTAGATCACCAAGACCGATCCATCATAGATGTGAATCTCCGCACTTGGAATCAAGATCAAAATACATGCCCGGCATGACCATCGGGATGAGGAACTAGATGGGCAGTAGGTTATACATTTTGGTAACAAGATACAAGACCAAGGTGGGGGCGAAGAACTTGAGCGCTGACTTGTTTGGAATCAATAATCAATTTGTCAATGTCACAAAGACACATCGCGTTTCGCGTGCGGATATGGATCTGTATACCAAACGTCTTCATTGCCGAGGGACATTTACAATGTCCCATGTAGTATCGTGTGTATGTATATTCCAGAGCTAATTCTCTCAATTGAATGTTCCTATACAATTAGGGCATTGTAGCACCTTGTATGTCTTAGATTGTACATGCGACATAGAGTTCGGTAACTAGTCGAGATACCCACAGACTTGGGAGTTGGTTCCCATTTAGCTCTGAGCTGAGGGTAAGACTTTCACTTTCATCGATGAAAGTCACCTTGGAATTCCATGCACGGCTGGCACAATCCGCCGGTCACACAATTGGTGTGGCGTACTGCGATTGACTTCCAAAATTACAAGACATCTCTCGTGCTTGTAACATGAATCTCGCCGACCTTGCTCTTTGTTGTTGTGATACCAACTCTGGGTTTCATTGTCTGTTGTTTCCAAACGAGACCGGGTATGATATTGTCTTGCGTATTCTTTGTTCTTGATTGCTCGACACCGTACTCAGCTCGGATAAATATTCGGCCTGTTTCTATAACCCTGGATGAATCCTTGGACCAAAACCGTTTCAATCATTTCCCTTGAAAAGTTTCAAATTGCATGAAATCTCGAATACCTTTGTTCTCCATTTTCTGCTTTACTCACAACAAAGGCTGGGAATTTCAAAACTGGTTCAAGTTTGAAACCGCTCTCCTACGACATATCTTGGCCATGGCCTCACAGGCAAACATCAGTCAGAGTTATAAGCCCCTCGTTTCTGCACTTTTTCGTATTATACCTCGCAACATCAATTTTCCAGTGTCTAGTCTCCATATACTACACTTACATCAACTCTACCCATGACAGCCATGGATCGCACAGCAACTCTTTTGATACCAGAAACACCGATACGAACGAATCCTCCCCCAGAAGGAGTACAGGACGCAACACATATATGCTGGTTTTGCCCAAACCGCCCTCATCCAACCCAGCACGAGTGCTACAGATGCAAATCATTATTCCTGCCCACAAAGAAAAGAACTGATAGAACAAATATAGTGTGGTATATCGGTTATCTCACCACTCTACAAACTTCTCAAGAGAGGAGGGCAATATTGGATACACTCCAAAGGGCATTCGTTGACAGTGCGAGAAACGTGGCAGTATGCTGCAAGGATGAGGACTCTGGTCTACGCGTCATGCTCCGAAAACTGAATGGCGAACGAAAATTTTCTGTCAATGGTAGAATTGGGGAATGGAGCGGTGTAAGAAATCTTGACCAGGATATCCAGGATTTGTTAAGGGACCTAATTGCCAACGCCAAAGGAACTTGTGAGTTCTCATCCCAATAGGGTCCTCAATTGAAAACCTCCTAATGTAGTAGTTCCTGGATGGTATCCGAGACAGAATTCCCGACTGCTTCCTTCCTAGTGGCTGCATTTGGTAATGTTGGTTGTCACCATGCCTAAAAGTTTCATTGTTTGGCAAATAGGAGTCTGGAGAGAGAATTGGCGGCATCCCAGTAGCAGGTTCTATTGGATGATGGGAGGGATTCGTGGTAGTTAGGAGGTTGCAATTAAATGCAGAATTTTTGAAACAATCGTATAGTGATCAACCCACCATCTCGTGCTCTCGATAAACCCTAACAACTAACTCCGCCGCCTCTTCCCTTTTTTCAATCCTTCCGTTTGGCGCTGGCATAGTGTTGAAGCTTTTCCTGAATCTGTAGATCTTTGATATTGTCATTAAAACAGGAACGAAACAATTTTTACTCAATATATTGAAGAACAAATATTATAAAAACTATAAAATGATTAATTTCAAAATTTCAAGTTTCAAATGCCAAAACCAAAATCAAAATCAAAATCAAAACTAAGACCAAAATAATCTTCCTCCATCTTTCTTATCTTTGCCATGCTATCCATTTCCCCTAATTCCTCAATTAAACCCTATTTATGACCATTTTCTCATAAAATTCTCTTATTCGGTTTCCCCACCTGTGTATTGCATTGTTAGAGAATTAGGTCGTCCTTCACTTTGAACAAGATGGTTCCACATCTTGTGAAATTCAATCCAACTATCAGGATAATTTTCAGTCACATCGAAGGTTACCTCGTGCGGATGTTTCACCGCAAAAGCTTCGTCTGATCGATACCGAGTGCAAAATGGCTCACACTTGCAAAAGGGTCGTCCATACCACTCGTTTTTGTCGTTCGGGGTATGTTTGAAAAGATCCTCTCCATCACTCCGAGTTGTGTCCAGAATGTCAGATAATGCATCTAGAATTTTGAATAACGTCGTGCTACGCTCCTTCGACATCACGAGTTCCCGAAAACCGCCAATAAGTCCAATCTGACAGTAATACCATTCAACCCCTAGAAATGTCAGCAATGTAATCAAGGTTATTTGGCTATTACATACACCATGGGCAATAGCCAGCAAATTCCCAGTCAATAATAGCCGATATTTTATAAATTCCAGGTGTTTCCTCGAAGACGAAAATATTTTCGTCATGTAAATCGCCATGGGTAAAGACAAATTCTTCGTTTAATAACCCACCTTCATTTAGAAGAATAGTCTTAATCTTAGCCATTTTTTCATCAACTTCTCTAATCCAATTCTCTGGAAATCGACCTTTTGGACGAGGTTCATCCCACAGACGATAACATTTGGCTTTAAATAAGGCTTTTCGCCATGCCGGAACGAGCTTCTCTATCCATTCTGTTGCATCAAACGGTACATCTTGGCAGGGACCATTATCGCATCTGAAAATGAAATCGCGAAGTGGCTTTCCATCCGCTGTCTGCATTCGTGGAGCAGTAAGTTTACGCCACTTCATCATATAGCTTGTCAGATCTTTTGCAAGGATATACTTTTGTTCTCGGGTGAGTTGTCCTTCAATCTCCCTAAGCAACACTCCTTTTGCACGAGACATTACAGTAAGTGCGTATTTGTCCTCTTTCTTTCCAAACCTATGCATCTCTACCAGAGGCACTTCTGGAACATTTTCGCGAATGAATTTCTGTGCTTTGTAACTATTTGCAGAGCCATTCCAGTCATTGTTAATTTCGTCTCTAATAAACCATTCTGGGCCAGCTTCCCATAAGCCATATCCTCCCTTTAAGTACTTAATTTTCAATCGCGAGGTGTATCCCGCTGGTGAAGTCTGCTGTTGATTATTCAATCCACAATTATGGCAGAGTTCCCTCAGGCGTGGGTCAAACAAGAAGGAACGGTAGTTTAGGCTTTTATCATTGTCGAACCAATCTTGTGAAACAACTATATGGCCATGGTTACTTTGGACCAGATCATCTTTATCGACTCCAGGATGATCTAGATAACAAGTTAGAACTAGATATAGTAAGGATAATATAGATATAATATACTAACATGTGCCATCCCATTCCAATTTCTCCCTAAGTGCCTGTTCGTAGTCTAGTTGCTTCCTTCTGGCTTCTTCTTTTATTTTTGATGGCCTGTCGTAACTAGAATCAGATGTGTACTCTTCCTCATCTACAAATTCTTCGCCACTTAAATCGGTCTCGAGATTGACATTTCCGTTTGTTGTGTTGATCGTTGCAATGAACTCGGTCTTGCTCTCTAGATCCAGACTTGGTGTAACTTCGGAACTGCTATGATCTGTGTTGGGAATTTCGTTGGACATATTGCCTGCCGGGTTTCAAGTCTTCGATGAATTGGAATAACAAAGTTCTGCGCCAGGTAGTGTTGCATCTAAATGTTGGGTAATTGGAATTTCAAGAATATGGGGCTGAGTATTGGGTTTTTTAAATAGAGAAAGAAGTATATAAAGAACACAATTCTACATTAAATGAAAACAATTACTATCGGAAATGGAGCTATTAAACAAAGAGATACTTATATTACCAAACTATAAAAGAAACTACGCAACTAGTATAGATATAGTCCGTTTCCGGAGATTTGTAGTCGTACACCCGGAAATAAAGCTATTAAACAAAGAGATACTTATATTACCAAACTATAAAAGAAATTACGTAATTAGTATAAGTGCAATCCGTTTCCGGAGATTTGTATGGTAATGGAGCTATTAAATAAAGAGATGTTTATATTATTAAATTATAAAAGAAATTACGCAATTAGTATAGATGTAGTCCATTTCCGGAGATTTATAATCGTATACCTGTCGATAAAGAAGCACGAGGTGGACGACATGGCAAAAAAGACCTCGTCGTCACCAATAATTACCACAGCTGGCCCAAAAAATATGTTATCAGCTTCACAAGCTCCTTTACCTCAACAAGCATCCGCCCAAGCCAAGAAGAAGAACACAACAAGAACAACACGGAGGACGCCCGTATTGGAACTCACTCTGAAGTCACAAAATTATCTTCAAATAAAGGGAAGGCACGAGTGTCAGAACCAGTGGATACTGCTCCTGTGCCCCTAGAGGCATTGAAATTCAAGACCGGTCCTATCGTCACAACGGCAACTCACTATGACAATGAAACTTTCCGGTTGGCAGCAGCAACGCCTGTCCCAATATCGGCTATAGTCGAGAGACAATTCTTTGACGATGTCCGCCATTTGCTTGGAAGACTTGGCGAGCATCACAAAGCCACAAAAACCATCGTTTCGGCTGCTCTGAGATTTCCTGGGATCCTAGACGAGTTTCAAATCGAGGTTCGCGTGTCGCCTCCTTCTAAATGCTACTTTCAATTTTTGGATCCTATTACATTGGACGGCTTGGCTAGTAGAATCTTTACAAAGCAAGAAGACATAGCCCACTACCAGGAAGCACTCGACACGTTGGGACGAACATCCAACGGTGACCTGTTCCGCCGCCTGCAGCAAGAATGCTATTTCAAAACGCGAATTCATGCCGAGTTACTCCTGGCAGACCTGTTTTACTGGCACCAATTCGATTTCCTAGAAGAAGATCCATACATTGGATGCAGTAAACCTGCCTGCTTCAATTGTTTCCAGTACCTGCTCGCCCATCCAGGAAACTTTGTTCTACCAGCTTGCCACAACAAATTGTATCTAGCCTGGCGAACGCCGGATATCCTTGAGGATCATGTGCCGGTTGCCGTCGCCAGCAAGATCCGGGAATCAACCACGAGTAAGATGAACTTGAACATTCGAATGGAACTGAGGAAACAAATTGATGGTAGATATGCGAGGAAAGCGGCTCAGTATGATTCAGTCACGGGCACGAGCTCGTCTATTCAGTTTGGCTTGGTCTAACCTCCCTCTGATAAGTTGGGGGACGATGATAATGAATCAGACTACGTCTCTGCTCAAGAGGATTTACTGCGGAGAGCCGAGACATCTGCTCATCACTCGAGTAATAATACGTTAACATTAAATATATTTCTTAATTCTTTATTTATATAAATTAGCTAATAATATTTTAATTATGTCACGGTTCTAGAGTCACGTGCTCGCTAAGTACTCACGTGACCGCTCACCTGTATATATGCTCTGCCTTCCGGCGCTTCTTTCCTTCCTTTCCTCTTTACCTTTAGATTCTAAGAGATAGCCTAATCGATTCCTC